AAAGAGAGATATGTGTTTTTATTTTCTTAGTTTTTAAAAAATGTTATTGATTGATTTTAGAAGGAGGAAGAAAAAGGGAAAAACCGATTTGTTGTTTGTTATTTATGCATTCGCTGGTTGCTTGTATATGGCCCTAACAGAGATCAAAGCTGCGACCTTGGCCTATCGGGACGGCGCTCCAACCAGCTGAGCCACCTGCTCAGACTAAGCAGAGAGGCAGTTTTAGAGTGGCTGACTTACAGTTTTGTGGAGCACGATACATCACACTGAGATAGAATTGTTGAGACAAAATAGGAAGCATCATTCCTGTTTTGTGTGTGTACTAATCCTAATCTGAGGATATTTTTTTGCATCGCCTTTTTTTCTTTTTTTTATATAAGAAAGTGGAAGGAAGGAGGGGAAAGATAGAGAAATATCTATGTTAGGGTGATACATCCATTAGTTGTTTCCCACATTCTCCCTGAACAGGGCCAGGATTGAACCTGCAACCCAGATATGTCCCCTTGATTGGGAATCAGACCCAAGACCCCTCCATTTGAAAGCCGACACTCTAACAATTGAGCAACAGGCTTAATCATTCCTCTTTTACTACCTAGGTTGTTCCACTGACCTGGAGACAGTTCTACATTGGACAACTTCTGTTGCCTTCCTTTTAGTGAATGGACCTGTTGGAAGTCTAGTCTGTGAATTTTGTCTGTTGTAGTGCTTTCTCTTCAGCTTCCCTTTGTGTGCCGTGAATCTTCTGACAGTTATCTCTCTGGGTCCGTATGTTCCTGATATTTTCTTACAGATAATGTGATGAAATTTGGGGAGCAGGATGTTTATTGAGGATCAATAAACTCACAATACTAGATTTATCTGTATTAAAAAGCAGAATGTAGGTCAGTAGTCATTTGATATCTATGCTTGAGACCACAGTAATGTGTTATGTCATTTTTCCCAGCAATATATACCCAGTTTGTCCATTTCATTGAGCTTGTTGGTTTACAAATACAGTACAGTACTACAACAAACAAACAAAATATGGTACCAAGCTTTCAGATGTTCATTAACTAGTCATGACCTAAGTGTTGATTAACTCAACCATGACCCTTGCAACTGTATGCCTATTTCTCGCACCTTGCTTTCATTCTTTTTTAGTCTATTTTCACACTCATACAGTTATTTTAAGATATAATTGTGATAACCCTTGTGCAGAAATGTTGAATAGCTAATTGTGGACTTAAGAAAGTGAAATATGGTATATCCCCATGAGACAAATACATGCCTATCCATAATTTCTGAATACTTTACCTCTCCTCTTACTATTTTTTGGCCTCCTTGAACTACTTGCAGTTCCTTAGAATTACATTCTCAGATGCTTTTTGCAAATCTGCCACTGAAATTCTCTTGTTTCTTATTAATGCCTCTCTACGCTTTGTGAGCCTTTATATGTATTTGTCACTGTGATATAATCATCGCATGTTTTATCTTTTCCATTAGAAAGCTGGAATAATCTTGTCTACATAATTTTAGCAACTGAAGCTTTATATATAAATGTGGTTGCTTATCGTAGCTATTTTTTCTACCATATGGAGAATTATAATCTGCAATGAGAGGAAAATCAAGCCATTGTGGAAGCAAAGGCAAGGGACAGTGCTGACTGAGTCCCAGAGTCTGGTTCTTGTCCTGATACGCATTCTTCTCTGCCCATTCATGCCTTGATCGCTGGGTTCTCCTGTGAGATATCACAGATATCCTCCTAATAAAACGCTATGTTTGCTTCAGGTGGTTCAAGTTGTGTTTCTTATAATCCAAATATTCTCCATAAAAGCCATAAGTGGGTTCTCTGGAAGCAGATAATGTGATAAAATCTAGGGAGCAGGGTGTTTATTGAGGTTCATTGGCTGTGAAGTGATTGGAAAATAAGTGATTGTCCCGCTTGGTGGCATGAACCGGATTCTCATTACTCAGTCCTACTCACTATGCCCTCCTCATTCCTGACCTGATTTATCCATTTACTATCACCAATGGGCGAGGAAGCCAAGAAGCACCTGAGTGGATCCACTAAACCCACTCATATTCCTCCCCGCCCTGTGGTATAACGGCAACCCTGCCTCATCCTCATGTGTCAAACACCCCCTCAAAGACAGCAGCTCCTCTTCTTACCCCTGGCCTCTGAACACGTTTCCATATGATATCTGAGGCTTATAATGAAATAGGAAACTTGCTCTGTTCTCTGTCGATGAAGTGTGTCGCCAGTGGGGATCAGGAGCACAAGTTGCTGGGGGGTCACTGCTAATGGTGATAGATCATCACTGGTTCCAAACAGTGGCCCCCAGAATCACCTGTTCTTCCGCACCTCAGATCTGCGGGGGGGGGGGGGGGGGGGGGGG